AAGAGTGTCCGACAAGAGTATCCCACAAGAGTGTCCTACAAGAGTGTCCCACAAGAGTGTCCCACAAGAGTGTCCTAGAAGAGTGTCCCACAAGAGTGTCCTACAAGAGTGCCCCACAAGAGTGACCCGCAAGAGTGTCCTACAAGAGTGTCCTACAAGAGTGTCCCAGAAGAGTGTCTCACAAGAGTGTCCTATAAGAGTGTCCCACAAGAGTGTCCCACAAGAGTGTCCTACAAGAGTGTTCTTGGGTGAGGACGTTAGTCGGGTATGTGGCGTACTGCCGGAGTGTCCCACAAGAGTGTCCCGCAAGAGTGTCGCACAAGAGTGTCCCACAAGAGTGTCCTACAAGAGTGTCCCACAAGAGTGTCCTACAAGAGGGTCCCACAAGAGTGTTCCACAAGAGTGTCCTATAAGAGTGTCCCACAAGAGTGTCCCACAAGAGTCTCCTACAAGAGTCTCCCACAGGAGTTTCCTACAAGAGTGACCCACAAGAGTGTCCTACAAGAGTGTCTAGTAGGAGTGTCCCAGAAGAGTGTCCCACAAGAGTGTCCTACAAGAGTGCCCCACAAGAGTAACCCACAAGAGTGTCCTACAAGAGTGTCCCAGAAGAGTGTCCCACAAGAGTGTCCTACAAGAGTGTCCCACAAGAGTGTCCTACAAGACTGTCCCACAACAGTGTCCCACTAAGTGTCTCACAAGAGTGTCCCTTGAGAGTGTCCTACACGAGTATCCCACAAGAGTGTCCTAAAAGAGTGTCCTACAAGAGTGTCCCACAAGAGTGTCCCACAAGAGTGTCCCACAAGAGTCCTACAAGAGTGTCCCACAAGAGTGTCCTATAATAAAGAGTGTCCCACAAGAGTGTCCTACAAGAGTGACCCACAAGAGTGTCGCCCTAAAAGAGTGTCCCAGAAGAGTGTCGTGTAAGAGTGTCCCACAAGAGTGTCCTGCAAGTGACCCACAAGAGTGTCCCACAAGAGTGTCCTGCAAGTGACCCACACAAGTGTTCTACAAGAGTGTCCCACAAGAGTTTCCTACAAGAGTGACCCACAAGAGTGTGCTACAAGAGTGTCCTACAGAGTGTCCCGCAAGAGTGTCCTACAAGAGTGTCATTTGGACATATTAGATTTTCGAACGTGTTTGCATTCGGGTTCGTGGGTTCCATCTTGTTTTAAAGCTTAACCTTGTTTCACTGTTTTTCACGATCCCAGCCCATCCACACCTGTGCTGGGTAGGTCATCTCCATGTAGGCACGGGCTTTTTGCCGGCAAGCAGCAGGGTCGCGCCGGCCCTTCCTGGGTCTGTTGGAGAGAAATACGTGCCAGGTGGATGCGATGGCATGGTATAATACACCCATGACCAGCCTCCAGCCAGGGCGGTTCCGTTGCTGTGTTTCTTCATGTCCAGGCACCCGACTCTTGATGTGTTCTTGACGTGTTTGTTGATGTTTTCGAAGTCTCCGAAAATGGAGGCTTTTGGATAAAGGTGGCACGTCTGTATGCACCTGACGACCCTGGTGTCCAGGCCTGTCCAGGTCCAGGTCTCCAGGTCTCCAGGTATTCCGATCGATCCGGTGGTTCGCCCTTCCTGGGCTTCCGGTGCTTCGACAGGTGGCACTGTCTTTGTGTGACGCGTCTTGAAAAAAAGAAACGAATCAAAGAGTCCAAGTCACCAGCACAGCAAGACGACTGCTTGGGTGGGTGGCGGCAACTCCGTTTTGCTGTTTTCTTCAAAAATATGATGGTGTTGAGCGTTGGAAACGCTGCACCAAGGCTCAAGTAGTTCACGTAGCTGCTGAAATCCTTTCTGGCCTTCTCCAAGTGCTTTTGCACCAAGTCCAGAAAGCCGGGGACTTTGTCAAAGTCTGCGGTGACGTCACAGATGTGATGGATGTTCTTGCAGAATTCGCCTGGCGACCCGCACGGAGCAGTTGCCCCTCCCTCCGCCCGCGCGGGGCGACCGAGGGCGACCGAGGCGTGGCAGACTGGACTGAAGAGGGGCCCCCTTCCAGTGGCGAAAATGAGAGAAACGAAAGGGACCTGCGCGGTGTTTCCGGCGGTATTGAATCACATGCCAGTCCAGTGGATGGAATGGGACTGGCGTGGAATGGAAGACCGAACGAACAGGGGGTGAACTCCACAGTCCATGTCTGTCGGAGTGTCGATCGCGCAAATTCAGGATGGGTCAAGGAGCATGAGCTGCCGAGCTCCAAAAACATGCTGAGCTCAGTATGTGGGCAGGGCTCTCTTACCTGTGTTCCCCTGGTCGGTTCCCAGTGCGCATGTGTTGGGGAGAGCTTGAGTCTTACTCTGTTTTGGGGGTAGGGGCCCATGTCATCCCATTTCTGAGATTGGAGTGGAGCACACCGAGGACGCCCCTTTTGACGCCCCAGGGCCGGTGCTTGAGGCACCGAGCGCCCATTCTCGCAGCTTGAGGCTTCGGGCAGTCCATCACCAACATCCACCTAGAAAAAGGGCAGCCTCCTTGAAGAAAGGAGAAACTGCACCAAACCCTCCTGCCAGGTGAGTGGGAGTGCTCTCGTTCTCGGGGTGCTTGCCACGCCCCCTTCGCTCGGCTAACCCGCCTGCGTACTGGTTCCGCCACCTGCCCCGGTCGCGGGTCGCGGAGTCCGGGCAGAACGGTGTGGCGCTGGTGGGTGGGATACAATGGACTGTGGTTTGTTGATGCTTGTTGGTATTCATAGACAAAGGCAAGAGGCCCTCCAGGTTTTCCTGCCTCAACTTCTGTTCCTCTTCCTCCAGCCCATCGTAGAGCTCTCCCAGAATGCTCTCCGAGTGCCGTGTGTGCCGGGCACTATGCGCTTTGGGATGCCAATGGGGAATGCCCGGCTCCTGCGCCCAAGCGTATGCGCGCGCGAGGCCGCGAGGCCGTGTGGATCGGTCGCGAAGTGATCGTAAGACGTTGGCCAAAGACCTCAGCATCTTGTGTATACCACGTGGTCTAGTTACCTGTCTCTCTGAGTCTTCAGTGTTTCCACAATGGGTTTCGAGGAAAAAGATGGTCATCGAAAAACTCTCTGGAGGCTGGTGAGATGGTTGCTGTCCGACGCAAACAAAAAACAAAACAGAGAGTGCTGTCCGTCGTCTGTGCCAACCTGCCAAACTAAACCTGATATATACATGCAGTATATATATATATATACACATACATACACATAATTATAGACAGACATATACTGTACATAATGTGTATATATATATATACAGTAGTATCCTTGCTGTCCCTTCCCGGATCCACCTCCTACAAAAGTTCCCTCCACAGGGGAGCTCCTTCCCCTGGGCTTCTGGGCTTAAGCGACGCTGGCCTCCCGCCGGCGAAACACCCATGTGAAACAGGGACCCGACCTGGATCTGCAAGGCATCCTTAATCTTCTTGAAGTCCAGATCTTCTGGGAGCTTCCCATCCAAAGCCAGTTGAAAGAGCAAACCCACCTGGATGGTCTTCTCCTCCGGGTTCAACACGCACCCGGTCGGAACAGCGCAGCACAAGATTACCTTGAATGCTGCGGTATACGAAGAAACCCCGGGACTGCTTCAGGAAGAACAACTGCTTCTCAACTGCCTCAGGTGTATTCCTACTGCGTCGCCTCTTTCGGTCTGTCTGAGACATCGGCGTCGCCTCCTTCGCACCTTTTTGGTCCGCCAAGTAGGACCAGAGATTCCCCAGTTGCCCCACCTCAGGTTGCACACGCGGCGGATGCCTTCGACAGGAAAGCGGAATCAGGCGACCATGACCCTCCAATGGAGAGGAGAAACCCTTGTTTTGGCCCCCTCGAGTGGAAAAAAGGAGGAGTGATGCTCTCATGCCATGCTGCCCAAACGGTCGGTTCCGCTCCCCAGAAAGCCATGGATTGCACCTTCCAAGGCACCAGAAAGCCATTGCAAATGGCGTTCTTCTCGACTTCACAAAGTAAATCAAAGGACTCCTCCAAGTGCACGGTGCCCAGATGCTCGGCCGGCACGTTGGCCTCCAAGCGAACCGTGTGTTTGGGGTCCGCCACCGGTCCGCCACCGGTCGACGGTCACGGTCGACCGGTGAGAGGAACCACCTGCAAATGACTTGCTAACCTCAGTTATTCAATCCATAGATCGCTGGACTAACATGGACTTGCACATGAGATCCAGAAACCTTGCACCACCCAAAATGGAAGCAGGCAGCAGACAAACCACATCAAACCACTGTATTTATACCCTCTAGTACTTTTTGCTCACCCTTTTCTATGTAGACTCCACGACTATGGCCCGCCATCTTCAAACTGCAAGGCACACTTGGTGACTTCTCGCGGCCTTCGACACGGACAAAACCCGCCACCGGTCCTTCTTTCCGAACCCTGCCGCGAGCTGGCAGGCGACGTCATCCTGAACAGCGGGAGGTGGGCGTCCTAAACAGAGTGCCTTCCCAGCCTTGCCGGCACCCCGACACACGGGTTTAAGCGCTTGAGACCGATGGGAGACCAACTCATCGCCTCAAATCCGACCATTTCCGCTGTGGGTTCACGCACTCAAAACCAACCCCGTCCTTTCTGCTCGGCTGAAAGGCCGCCACCAACTTGGCATGTCCCAGCAGCAGAGCGTCGTCGCCATCGAAGTCGCCACCGGCCAGGTAGTCCGCTGGAGGACAGCGGCACTCCTGGAGGGGGCACTAGAGGTGCGTGCAGAATGTGGGGAACACCCAGCACAGCACTGCTTCGTGTGCGGCTTCTGAATTGGCGAAGTCGCCGAAGGCTTGCGAAGGCTTCGTCCCGTGGCACCACCCAAACCTCTGAACAAACACGCAGAGCCACTAAGCCTCTTCAGTCGCTGGCTCCGAATCTTCCCTGTTTTCGTGCCGCAGGGAACTCCCACCCAGGCTTTGTATTCCTCCCGTGTCCTCAAAGCCCAAGCCTCCACCTATGATCCCCACCCGAACTCCTAAATCCCTCCAACTTCCCTCCATCGCTCCGTGTCCACTTCCCGAATCGCCCCGTGTCCACTCTCGTGATTCCATCCTCATGGCTACTGAGGATGATCACATCATCATGCAAGAAGGGATATCCCTGCGTGCCGAAGCGCTCCAGGATCTCCTCCTGCAGCCGATCCAACCGCAGGCTGCGGAACTTGGGGCAGCCGGATCCATCCTTCCGGTTGGGTCTTCTTTGATTTGGTTTTGGGATACGTCTGCCAATGGCCCAAATAGTAGACAAAGGAATATGTAATGTAATATGTATAGTTTGCAGAACAAAAAAGGACTTGTGCCCAAACCAAGAATACAGAATTTGCCCAAACCAAGCCGATTTCGGAGCGAACTCCACTCCGACCCATCTCTCCCAAGCCATTCGACCCTTCTCTCCCGCGCTGAACCAGTGGGCTCCTGCCCCAGAAATCGGAAGCGCTGCACATCCCAGGGCGCCGTGCAGGGCGAGCGGCTCAGGAGCGCCGCACCTTCGAAGTAGGCGCCGCCTGACCGAAGCGGTCGGGGGCGCGTGGGGCGCTGCCTTCGCGCGTTTGTTCGGACGAACTTGAGGTGAAGAGAAATGAGCAACAAAGAAGGAGCTCCGGTAAAGGGTGTGGAGCAAACCATTTCGTGGTGCCGCCTCTTTTGGGGCCCAATGCGTCTGCAAGGAGGGAGGGAGGGAGGGAGGGACGGAGGGAGAGGGGCGCTCAGTCCAACCACTGAGGCAGGGTCTTCTCTTCCTGGATCCTTTGCTCCAGAACGAACCCTCAGACCGTGAGGCGCCCGGCGGCCTGGGAGCTTGAAGATGGCCTCGAACTCTAAAAGTTTCCGTGTGAAGTCCGGCGCCAGCTTGGCGCGCCAGCTGTCGCTGCAGCCGTAATGCGCCTCCTGCCTGCAGGTCTTCCGCGTTCTTGGAGGTCGCTGGCGAAGCTTCGATGGTTGGTTTTCAAAAGTGCTGTGACTCAAAAGGCCAGAAGAGGTGGCGATGTCAGCCAGGTTTGAGTCTTGTTTTCCTTGCTCGCTTAGCTTCTTCTGTTTCTTAAGCTTGGCCTTGTGGATGTCACTGATGTCACCAGTGCAAAGGAATTAGATCCTTTCGCCTGGAAGGGCAGCCTTCATTTACATGCTGACTTCTCGACAGAACGCCAAACAAGTCATGATGTAAAAAGGTTGAGAACAGATGAGAATACACCCCACATCACCCAACAAGATGAACTCGGCCAATCTCCCGGCTTTCTGAAAAAGACACCATCCTACTGTCCTCCCAGGCCCCAGGCCATCCACGCCCTCTCCTCGCCTCAAGCGTCGGAACGTGCCCAGGTGGTACTGCACCAGCGAATCCCAACCGGCGGGCTCCTCTCCGTTCGCGATGGCCGGAGGCGAGGCTCGGAAAACGGAGAGGAAGGCGGGTGATTTCAAAAGCCCTCCCAACTTGACATCGTCCCGCGGCCCAAAAGAGTTTCTCGAATTGTTGACTATACTTGATGGTTGATCAAGTTGATTCTGGTTTTGTAGTGATTAAAACCCTGAGTGAAACAATGGTTCTTCCGTAAAGGCCATTAAAACCATGGTGGGCCACGACTTCTAGGGCGATGTTCAACGATCCGACCCAGAATGGCTGAGACCGTCTGAGACTACGGAGTATATGCACCAAACCAGCACCCCAAGAGATGCAGGCCTCTGATGGTGTGCGCAGAGGCTTGGGTCCCGCGCGGGTACAGTGGGTTCATCAGTGTGGGTCCTGATTTCTCCTTCAAAAGGGTTCTCTGGCCGAACACTCCGCAATCCGTTCCAACTCTGGAGTCCTCTGACTCTGGAAACAGAACTGTCCTTTGTGCAAACCATCGGCTGAACTGTCCTTAACTCAATCAAGCCTAGCAGAACGTGGTTGTACTTGCTTGCAAGCTAGGCCCGGCTATCCTATTTCATTTCCGTTTGGGAACAACAACACCTCTGATGTCTTGCTTCTCGCGTCGGCACAGCACAGGTCGACCTGGCGTCCTGCGTCCCTTGGGAGTCCTCCGTCTCGTCGACCGGCCGCGCCTGACGCGGGTCCAGGCCGGCGTCGAACATCCGCACCGCCAACTGGGCGATGCCTCGTCGGGCGCGGGCGGGCGGGCGGTCGAACACTTGAGGGTGACGGGTCCCTCACTAGAGATACCTTAGGACCCTTAGGATCAGCCACCCTCATTCTTGGCGAAATCGGCGCAGTCAGAGGATGCTCGCGGCTGGAGAAGAAACCGGGGTAAAAATCACAGAGAAGCCCTGCACAGCGGCCATTTCACTCCCGCCTTCAGACTTGGGATCTGCTTGTGGCATGCCGGGGGTGCCAAATTTCTCCTCCTGCGGTCAAAGTCGCCGGCTGGTGCAATCAGAGTGTTGGGCGACTGGCCCAAACTGGAAGGATTCAGAAACATGGCCCTCCTCCACAGATCAAGAGAGTGTCTTGAGACTTGCTGTACCCGAAAAGGATAGAATGGGCGGCAAAAGAAGAAGCGTGGGAAAAGGGGCGGCAAGCGGGACCGGGAGAAGACGTCTTGCCGAAGCGGATGGAAAAATTGAGGAAATTGGATCCATGGCTCATGGGGAGCAGAAAAGGATGATGATTCATGATCTTTCATCGGAGATGGATCAAGACACGCGTATGTGAGCGGAAATAACGGTCTTTATCGATGAACACCATGTGATTTCATGATTTTTTCGGATTCTTTTGAGAGCACCAAACCTCACCAGACATCGCTGGAGACGAAACAACAGGTCATGTTAGCTACAGGACACTGGGAGTTTCCCTACAACCCAAAAGCCCAGCCCAAAGATCTGACGAACAGTCCATCTTCGATGCCTCGAAGTTGCAGAGCTCCGCCTTCTGCAACTCTTGAAAGATCTGCCTTGGCAAACATGTAACGCAACCGCTGGGAAACTGGAATCACTGGGTACAGTCGTGTCATTGGGAGCATCCCAACATAATCCCCACCCATGTGTCCATGGAATCAACTCTCCATCCATCCATCCTGAAACTTGTTCTCCTCCGCCATCCCACGAACGTTCCAAGTCACAGCGGAACGCCGCCAGCTTCCAGAACGGCGATGAGCTGTGTGTTCAACAAGCCCTTGCTGGCCGTCTTCCTGGAGTAATCCTTCACCTGGCGGCTGGGGAACGAGGTTTCGGCAGTTCCGGGCTGGACTCCTTCAACTAACTGGAGAGGCCTTTTCTAGTGCAAAGTCCGTAGTAAAACGATGAGTTGTTCCGGATTCGGCCTAATAAAGAATCATGGAATCCTCCATCCGCCTCAAAGGTTCTGAGCAGCTCGTCTGAGGAGGCCCAGTCAATCTTCCACTTATACCTGAGTAAAACGCGATCGAGAAGAGAGAAAGCAAAAACCGCAAGTTTCAAAAAAAAAATATCTCGTCCTCTTACCCATGTTCTCTCTAAAACCATCTGGAAAAGTTCCCTACCTTCTTTTGGAACAACTTCGTCCTGTTCCAGAAAATGGAGAGAGGCACCTTCTGGTTGGCTGGACAAAAACACGCACAGAGCGGCGGAATCGTCGGCGGGTGACAAGTGCCACAGTTGCAGGTGGTGAAGGAAATTACATACAGTGGGTTCAGTAGATGGCACAATCCCCAAGAGGAGGTTTATATGAACCCCCATCTAAAGGACATGTAGGGGTTTGTGCCACTCTGAAAGCACTGTAAACGGATCCGCAGACCAGTTCACAAGAAGCGCCGACCTTGAAGAATAGGGATGCCAGAACATCCCGCACTGCTGGAAGAGAGTTCATTCTACTCATTCCCCACATCCGCACCAGTCTACTCCCGTTGAAACAGAGGATCGATTCGTTTGAAAAATTCCCTCCGCACACACAGATCAGAAAGGGTAGCATGCACAAATGCTGACAGAGGTGGCACTTCACTTGTCAATGGAGGATGAAGTCACAAGACTAAGAGTGATTGCTTTCACGTCTCTTCTCTCGTGGTTCACTCCATTTAGAGCTGTCCCAGCAAGAAAAGCAGAAAGAAAGACCACCTCCAAGCCACCTCCCAAGCTGCAAAAAGAACAGCAACGAACCAACAAAGTTCTTGCAAAAAAAGGTGCATCGATCGTGTGTTGTACACTCTATACCAGAACTCCTTGCGAAAGTCCACGAGCCAGCAGCCCTGGCGGCAGGAAGCCGAACTGCAGGTTGACGAAGCGGGGGCGGGGCGGTGGTGTTTTCTTGCCCAACTGCCCCACTGAGTGGAAGAAGACCCTGGCCCTGGCCTTGACAGGTTTGACTTTGACCTGGAAGTTGCCTGCCATCCATGCTGCAGGTTCTCAAAAACCAAAGGCTCTGGAGCTGGGACCTTTCCAGCGGAGGGACCACATCTTCCAGGCTTCGAAAACGCAAAAAGCCTTTGAAAGGCGCTTCGGCCAGGTCGGCGACCGACATGGCACATCGGGATCTACGGTTCTATCTGTTTGGGGGTCTATACCAAGGTTCGGGTGTTGCAGATCCGAACCACAGGTGGTGAACCTGGGCACTTGTCACCAGGAAGCACCTGGCGAGGAGGGTGCAAATATACAAATATGTATATATATATATATACAGGTATATATCAGTATATATACCCCCCTTTCATTGTTCACACCCTGAGCTCTGAAACCCCACCAGCCTGGAGAAAGGAGCCGAAACCACCCTGAACCCCCCCTTTCTCTTCGGCCGGAAGAATCACCGGTCTAGCCTTGCAGCACCCCAAGCGCGCTTGGAATAGAGAGGGAACGTAGTCCAAACCCACCAGCTTCGCCACTCGTTCCGCCAACTTCCAGCCAATCCGTCCGCAGCCATCGCTGGCCACGGCGTTTGAGGTCGTCCGCAGATCCTCGGGCAGCTGCGAGGGTCGTGGGAGCTGCAAGTCTCCACCCCAAAAAGGGCAAATGAAATCCTCTTGATCTACCTCCGTGGACCAGTCTGTGTGTGAGTGTGTTTTCCTTTGTCTTCTGTGTTTTAAAGAAATGCTGTTCATTCCCGAATCTACCCTGGGTTTCCTTCTCGGAATTCTTCTATCAAATCCATCCTGGTGATCCTCGCGTATTTCATGGTCATGCTCCACTGAGCTTTACCCTGCCGGCCTCTATATCGTGGATCTCAGAGGCTTGCAGGACAATGGTGGGGATCACATCGCTGAATCCAAGGTCCAGGCGCTTGCAGTACTTGCCTTGGACCCGGTCGAGCTCGGGAGCAAACACCAGAAAACATCTCCACCATCTGGGCACTGCTGTCACAGGCTGTCACACTATGACTGGAGCCTCTGTTCATGTTGAAGATTCACAGGCTCTGAAGCTTATCACAGTAACCTCCTTGTCCAAGGGATTGATTTCTTCATTGGAATTGGGTGATGTCTCCTTTCCGCAGCCGTCGTCCAGTCCCGTTCACAGAGTTCCGTGTGCGCCCGAGCAGCTGGGATTCTTGAGAAGCTCCTGTTCTGGCCGTGCCTTTCTCCCTCCGGCTCGGTGACCGAGCCGGTGCCGTTCAGGGAGGAGGAAAGGGAAAGGTGGAATATCATTTCAACTGCTGAATGAGAGGAAGGTAGTGCAGCTCTTCAATGCTGGCAGGGTTCAAAAAGGTCAATGTCTAAAGTGTCTATAAATGACAAGCCGGCAGGGTTCCAATAGGTTCTATTTTTCCCGAAAGCATTGCGAAGGGTTCTTCCGGAAAATCCTTTGAACACTGACACTTCGACACTTACACTTAGACACACCTAGACATTGACACTTTCACCACACTTGCAGGATAAATAACATGAACGCTATACGTAGCCCTGTGTAAGTGGAAGAGCGAAAGCTGTCAAAGTATGCAAGTGGAAGTATGCAAGTGCAAGTATGCAAGTGATGAGTATGCATGCAATGAGTATGCAAGCATGCAATGAGTAGGCAAGTGAACTAGCACGGGAGAAGTCCTAATGAAAAAACATTTCCCCACTTTATAAATTCTCTCTTAAAGGCGGAGGGTGGGACGAACAGCGTCAACCGAAAGTGCAACCCTCTGCGGAGATCGTGCGTGTCGAGTGCGCGAAATGCAGGTGAGAGCGCGATT